TATCCTGGATTGCTGTCTTTCCGGCTTTGGAATGAAGAGGGCCTCATGCTGCTACGAAGGATTTGCCTTCAGGGGAGGTACTTCATAATCTGTGTACAGTATATCATGTACATATATTGTTGTGATTTTTCTTCTTTTTTTTTTTTGCTTATTAACGTACTCAGCTAGAGTCAGATTGTAATATATATATATATATATATATATATATATATATATATATATATACACACACACACATACATATTTTGTAAATTTGTATATTTGGCATAATGTCTATTTTTCTACATATATTTATTTGTAAATATTTTTATTCCCCCTTCCAAGTTTGTTCCCTTTTTCCCCCTGGCCTTTTTCTGTATGGGAATGCCCCGTTCCTGGGCTCAGGAACTATTTTGTTTGTCTTCCAGCCAGTAAGAACATAGCTTTTTTTCTGTGATGGGTGAATGTAGCACCCTCCTAGTTTGCTAGGTTGAGCTAGTTGATTATTTTTTAGTCAGAAGGGCTGAGAGAAGAGCAGCAGCCTGAGCAATAGTCAGTTGGGCCAAATTTGGGTCAGGGCTGAGAGGCTCTGCAGATCAGTTGCTTGATACCTCCCCCTGCTCTGGAATCTTGATAATACTCTAGAAGCAGCGGGTGGGGTGAAGAGGGGCTGGTCTACATACTCAAGATACTCTGGGCAATCCCCAGACAAGAGGCTTGGCATGGGATCAAAGCAACCTTTAAGGATGACTGAGCCTGTAGCTCCTTACCCAAGATTGTTTAATTTAAAGTGGCAGGCACTGGATTCCCTTGCCCATGGACTCCCACAGACAGCTGGATAAGAAGAGGATTTATCTGGGGTCTGGGGTGGTACACCAGGAGAGGCTGGAGAGCTTTCCAAGAAGAGTTTCTGCTGTGTAAAGACTTGTACTTAGTTGCTAAGGAGTTTGTCCTAGGTTTGCAGTTCCATTGGGCATCTAATACACCCCTTACCCCATCCAAGTTCAACACCCCTTAATAAAATATAAAAACAAGCTCAAGGACTGTTTACTGACTCTGAATGCAAGTCCGTGGAAAATGTATGTTGCCTGGCTGCGCAGGACTATAGGGGGTCTCAAATCCTCAGCAGCTCCTACGGGGGGTAGTGCTACAATTGCATCACTGCAAGAAATACCTCTATTTTTGTAATGGGATGAGATGCTGTGCATAGTAACCAATACATTTCTAGGTTTTGTCAAAGCTTGATTCAACAAGCTGAAGTTAGAAGCTAATTGATTACTATACACAGCTGCACCAGATTCTGTGTGCACCTGTTTTAGTATATCTTCCCCTAGGAGTCCTCAAAGTATTCTAGGAAGCTAAGGAAACAAGAAACACGGGGGGTCACTAACAACCTTCTCCACAAGGAACCATGGGGAACATTAGGAATCTTCTAGGGAACACAAGCTGTTGCTCAGGTGATATCTGAGGGATTCAATCCAGTTTAAACAGAATATGAGATGGCCTGGCTGGGCTGTGTGTGTATTTAACTGAATTAACAGCAAGTAGTTAAGCAGTCTTGAACACAACTCTTGTGGAATACTGGGAACCAGCAGAACTATGCAAGTTAAAGCCTTGAAATTACATGTAATATCAGCACATAAGAGTCCTCTATTGGTCGATGGTTCCTGCCAAACCAACTCTGTGCCCACCTCTCTTCTTCTTGGACAGGATAATCACCTACCTGTCATTTTTGGTCACTCTGCTATCTTCTGTCACTTCCTGCCCCAAGGCCCATCCTCTCACATAAGAATTTCTAGTCCAAAAGCTTTTTTAATGCTTTACTGCAACAGTTCAACCATGTACAGCAATCCCTTTCCTCTATTTATAGAATCACAGTACAGTGCACTAATTTGAAAGACAGTTCTCCCCTCAGCAGCAGTTTTCCAAAATGTAATCAGTTACTTGTCCAAAGGTGGCTTCACACATAGGGGGTTCTTCAACACTAGCCCCAAGGCTGTCCTGAGCCAAGCCACAGCACATGCTAAGTGAAGATCAGGGGTGGCAGGGTTCCTCCATTTTCCTCCTGAAGTGTCCAAAGCTGTCCATCCTGGCAGCTCAGCCCAGCCAGGCTCTCTTTTTTGCACAGGACAGAGACCTACAAATTGTTGGTCAGTGGTGTCCTCTTCCCATACCCAAACTCTGCCAGTGCCCCATCCAAAGGGCCCTAACTCCACCCACTACATCACTAAAGGAGGTGCAACAAATAAAGAGCACTTATACTATACCTGCCAACAAGCATACCTGTTAGTCTTTGGGAGGAGAAGAGAAAGATCCAGCAACAAAGCTGCAGATCTGTAACAGTTGGTGAAGCCTGATGAAATAAATGTCAGTGCATAAAAAAAGAAAGTAACATGGCCAGACCCCAAGATGTACGTCCCTACTGCCTTTGTATTGACCCTGTGTAAACATAAAAACATTTAAGTTTGGACTGCCCCCAGCATTGCAAAAATGAAATGCTCTTCCAGGTCTAGGGGATAGCAAAAAGCAGTTGTACTTCACTGATCCTCTGCTCCCTAGCAACCAATGTTCTCTTTTACATCCCTATGCTAGGTAGTAGAGTCTCCCTTGGCATGCTCATGTCCAATATAGGGCTATGGGCTCTGAACTGGACTTGATGACATCAGAGGACTTGCAACTCCCAGAGTATAGGGTAAAAAAGGTCAAAGGGATCCATCTTAAAGCCTGGAGGGGTCCTGTGGGAGAGGAGGATTGGGTAAATAAAACTGCTTTTTTGCCACCCTCTTCTTGACACTAAACAAGCATTTAACCCTTGCAGTGCAGGGGGCAGCTCCACTGCAAGGGAGCATGTTTCCCCTACCTTACCCTTTCCCACTTTAAGTTGCTGTGTTTACTGAATAGGAACAATTAATATTTTCATTCGTTGCCCTAAATTGCTGTATATAGTTCAAAATCAAGGATCACTAAGTGCTGTGATACTCTGTCAAAATAATGTCACCGTTTTATTTATTGTGCCTCCTTGCAGGCAGCTCATACAGTATGCCTGTATTAGAAACTCACATATTTGTCATAAATACTTATATTTTCACACAACAGTTTAAAAATAGCCTTGTGAAGAGCCACAATGAGGCCCAAACCACATGTTACTAATGTTTTCAGTGCTAATAGGCTATGTGCATACATGTGATGTGAACTCAGTACAGTGCCTTGAAAAAGTATTCATGCCCTTTAAAATGTTCCACATTTTGTCATGTTACAACCAAAAATGTAAATGTATTTTATTGGTATTTTATGTGATAGACCAACACAAAGTGCTGGTAAGTACTTGTTTGTTAAAAGTCAGCAGCTACAGTATTTGTAAGTGCTGACTTTTACTTTTGTTTAAAAGTTCCTCTTTATAGTTGAACTCTAAAGGCTGGTATCAGCTGGTTCAACAGAAACCAGATGACATTCAGACAGTGTGTACAGCAGCCTGTCTGATAGAAGCCAGCCTAACATTCAGCTTCTGTCAAATGGGCATTCTAGAAAACCATCAGAGCCATAAAAAACATACAGAGAAGAAAAAGGGACTTTTTTAAGCACCAAAACTACAAAAATAAAAAAAGATCTTATATAAAAAATACAAATTTATTGAACATAGTACATCAATGAAAAAAAAAAACAAAAGCACAATACACAAAACATAATTTTGATGTGGAGGACGATCATTAGGCTATATATCACCAAAGAGAAAAAATCCAACGCGTTTCAATTAATTGAATTTATAAATTGAATCTTCTTCATGGGGAAAGGTGAGATGCCATAAATAGTATTCTAGAAAATAACAAAGTAATTCAGTGAAGAGAAAAAAAAAAAACACACACACCATATGAAGAGTGATTCCAATCACTAGTCATAAGAACAGAAATTCAAAGAATCCTTACTGGTTAATTCCAGTGAATGAATGCTAAACATGATCATAAAAACCAAAGATTAGATATATTAAGTCTATTGGCATTCTATGTAATACCTGTATATGTGAGAAAAGAGAAACGGAACTCACATAAAATTGTCTAATGGAGGTTAATAGGGAATTGAAAATAGTAACACACCCCTCTATCAAGCACTTCGATCAACCCAGATATATAAAACACAGGGAGATATCCATATGGGGAGAGGCACAAATATCCAAAAACAGCCTTGTCCTAGATGAAATCTATAATCCACTTAAAGTATATAGAATCAATAAAGGCAATAAATATACCTGGACTTGATCACTGATGAGCTTCCCCTGAGGTATTAAAATGTGGAACCAACAAAATGTATGCAAAATATAAGATACTAAATGTAGCCGCCGACATCCGGGCTGACATGACATCACGTCCGGTGCGTCAGACCGTCATTTCGCGGTCCGGCATGATCAGCGCTGACACACATTTGTGTCCCAGAGTTGTAACTCAACATATCTTCAATGAAAAGGGAGACAAAGAAACAAACGCTCAACCTAAGCAAAAGAGAGAGGGGACCAAAAAGAACCCCCATTCCACAAGTGATCATGTACGGGGGCCACTCATGCTAGATGCAAGGCGATGCCATAAGGAAGACCAGCAAGGATACCTAAAGGAAATTAATAACAGAAGCAATATACAGAAAATAATGTTGAAAATACAATATAAATGTTCTCAAAAGAGATAATAAGGTGACACAGTAAAAGGGAGATAAAGGGAAAAGAATTTCCCATATCTTCCAATACAGAGCGGTCACAGACAAAACACAAATTATCCATAATTTAACCACTTGCCTACAGGGCACTTATACCCCCTTCCTGCCCAGGCCAATTTCCAGCTTTCAGCGCTGTTGCACTTTGAATGACAATTGCGCGGTCATGCAACACTGTACCATATAAAATTTTTATCATTTTTTTGTGACAGATAGAGCTTTATTTTGGTGGTATTTAATCACCTCTGGGTTTTTATTTTTTCTTAAACAAACCAAAAACCACTGAAAATTTTGAAAAAAAAATCATTTTTTCTTAGTTTTTGTTATAAAATTTTGTATATAAGTGATTTTTCTCCTTCACTGATGTGCGCTAATGAGGCTGCAGTGATGGGCACTGATAGGCTGCAGTGATGGGCACTGATGAGGAGGCACTGGTAGGTGGCACTGATGGGCATTGACAGGCATCACTGATGGGCACTGAAAGACAGCACTGATAGGTGGCACTGATAGGCGGCACTGACTGGCGGCACTGACTGGCACTGATAGGCGGCACTGACTGGCACTGTTAGGCGGCACTGATAGGCAGCACTGATGGGCACTGATGCACACTGATAGGCGGCACTGACTGGCACTGATAGGTGGCACTGATAGGTGGCACTGATAGGTGGCACTGACTGGCACTGATGGGTGACGCTGAAAGGCAGCTCAGATGGGCACTAATATGTGGCATTGATGTGGCACTGATGGGCACTGAAATGTGGCACTGATGTGGCACTGAAGGGCACTGGCAGGTGGCATGGATGAGCACTGACAGCTGGCACTGATGGACACTGACAGGTGGCACTGCTGGGGCTACACAGATCATCAGGGCACACTGATCATCAGTGCTCTGATGATCTGTGTACATGTCCCTCCGAGGAATGCCGATTACCGTCTCTCCTCTCCTCACGAGCTGTCAGCGTGACAGCTCGTGAGGAGAGAAATGCTGATAACCGGCATTTCCCTGTTTACATGTGATCAGCTGTGATTGGACACAGCTGATCACATGACCGAGCCGACATCTTCAGCTCTTTCCGTGGATCGGTGATCCACTGTGTCCGAGGGACACAGCGCACTGCTGATCGCCGTGCTGCGCGCTCCAGAGCCGCGCATGCACAGTTACAATGGGAAGACGTCATATGACGTCCTATGACGTCCTCCCAGAATGAGAGAACCGCCTTGCGGCCGTCATATTACTATATGGCGAGCGGGAGGCTGTTAAACAGAAGAATACAAAAAATAATATAAATATAGAAATCAATTCCATTTTATAGAAAACCAGGACACACAATCCAGGGCTCCATAATTACAAATCGTGTTCTGGTTTGCCAGAAACAAAGCCTTCCAAGAACGGTTTAAAGCTTGTTTTTTCATTTAATCCCAGAAACACATTAGCTTTTAAATTATGAATCCATTTCATTTCTTTTTGTAAAAGAATCTTAATGATATCACCCCCTCTGTTAATAAAGAATACCCTTCCCAGGGCCCAAAATGTTATGTATTGCATTCTATAGCCATGTGCCTATGTCTACCAATGGGTGAATATATATTGCAATTTCATGCAGCATGTGTATGTTCATATATCATCACATATATTCACACATTGTCTTGCCCACATAGAAGGCTCCACAGGGGCAAGACATAATATAGACAACCCCCCTTGTGAGGCAGTTAACAGACTGTCTCGGATGGAAAGTCTTACCATTGGGCAATGTTGGACATGGATCCTGACAGATAAATCTACAATAATTACACGCTCTACATGGGAAGGTGCCTTTTTCTGCATTGGGGGTGTTATAGTCAGTAGAGACAAAATTAATTTGAACTAGTTTATCTCTCAAGGAGGGAACTCTTCTATATGTAATTTGAGGCGTAGAGGGAATGTATTTTGTAATTTTAGGATCTGAAGTTAATAGATGCCAATATATATTAATATACTTCCTGACCAAGGAATGTTGATTGTTATAGGCTGTTATAATTCTAACCGGAGGATTTTCTAATTGCCATCCTGGGAGCCAGTGGAAGTTTTATCATGTAAGAATCTATTGCTTTGGTATGTTTTACCTGTGTTTCTAAAAAAATATTATTAGGAAGTGATTGTGTATGGGAATTAGAGTACATGTGTTTGGAAACTGCTCCTAAGGAGGTATCCTCCGCTATCGTTCCTGTTAACCTCCTCGGCAGTATGATTATTTCCGATTTTTTGTGCTGAAAGCGGTACCATTTTTTTGCATGGAAATATGTAGTTTTTTATTGTAGGCTGTAATTTTTAGGAATAACTCACTGAAATCTGTACGAACAAGAGTCTAGTAAACATCCCAGGTATGATAAAATTTGAAACACAAAATCATAAATTATAATTTAATAAATAATCATAAAAAATAATAATATAATAATAATAAATTTAATTCAATAATATATTCAAACCAAAAACACTGAAAATTTGAAATACAAAGGCAAATTCGCACATCGCTGAGCAAAGTCGCAAAATCGTTTTCAGTGTCTGATGACGAATTTCCCCACGAATCATTAGCACTCAATTCTGCAAGTGGTTCTGATTTACTATCGCTGTTCTCTAGCCGGTCTAAAACCGTTTTTTTTTCCAGGCAGAAAGAACAGTCAAAATGCAGGCAGGGCACAGGACAAAGCAGTAGGGACAAAAATTTAAAATTTGCCGTACGTCCCGACGTCACAGGGACCGGAACACGGAAGCCGGATGCCGGCATCGGCTGGAGGAGATGGCCGGGGACGCTGCAGGGGACACATCGTGGGAGCAAAGGACAAGGTAAGTGCTGCAGGGACTCCCTGAGCAACGCCGCATGGTAAGCCCGAGTGTAGCTTGGGGTTACCGCTCTTGGTACTCAAATTTTACCCCGAGCTACACTCGTGAATACCGCTAAGGAGGTTAAGGGGATAGAGGTAAGGTATTCTCACATGTGTTACCTGACCCAACGTGTTCAGTGTTGGAGTGAGTGGGGTCCAGGGGCGGACTGACCATTTGGAAACTCGGGCACTGCCCGAGGGCCCGGGGTCAGTAGGGGGCCCCATGAGATGCCCCTGGTACCTTTTTCATAGGCTTTTTTGAATTTGGGCAAGGACACGGGCCCCATGATCCCCTATTGCCCGGGGGCCCCATGAGTTGTCAGTCTGCCCCTGGTGGATCAATGAATCTTCTTTTTTGATCATTTTCATTCAAATGTCCTGAATTTCTGTGATGAAATTTCCTGAAGTGTTTGTTGGATCTGTGTCTACTAGAAACCTGTGAAGAGAGTGAAGAGTCAGAATAGGAAATAGCCCCTATATCATCCTCAATATGTGCAGAATATTTAGAATGCTAAACATAAGGTCTCTGAGACGAATCCCATCAGTATGTTTTACCTTCCATAAATGCTCTTTTATCTCCAAAAAACGTATCTTTTTTCATTAGTGTAGTTTTATTAAACTGTTCCAAATCCTCATTCAATTTTTTATCGAATTCTTCAAATTTTTCATGCAAACGCAACAAACCCAGAGAGTTTTGGATAGTTTGTACTTCTTTGTCTATTCTTTCCATTTGATTCTTATAATCTTCAATAAGTAAAACCATCATGTTTGAAGAACAGATATTTAAGTTTTCTTTGCATCTCTTTTTAAGATCATCAGAAACGAAGGGTATATTAGGAATAATTTGTACTCGTAACCCCATAGAATTATATCCCTCTTCAATATATCTTTCAAAGGTATTAATATGCCAATAGAGAGCAGATTTCTATTTAGGAAACTTTTTAAGAAGAAAAAATAAGGAGAAAAGCTCAGCTTCCGGTTTATCTGTATCACCATATTGGTACAGATATCTAGACATACGATTTTCCCAGTCTCTTCCATAGAAGTCACCCAGTTTTAATTTGGTCAGAGCCCTGGAGTGGTGTCTTGGGAAATAAAGAAAAAAAAAAAAACTTTATACTTTATAAATTGCATAAATAATTATACAAAAAAGAAAAAGAACAACCAAACCTCATAATGAAAACTTATACAGAAAACCAGTACATAAGACGTATGTAGGAATACTGTTTATGGCATCTTGCCTTTTCCCTGAAGAAGATTCAAATTAAAAATTCAATGAATTGAAACACGTTGGGGTTTTTTTTCTTTGGTGATATATAGCCAAATCATCGCCATCCACATCAAAATTATGTTTTATGTATTGTGTCTATGTTTTTTCATTGATGTACTATGTTCAATAAATTTGTATTTTTTATATAAGATCTTTTTTTTCTTTTTGTAGTTTTGGTGCTTAAAAAAATCCTTTTTCTTCTCTGTATGTTTTGTATGGCTCTGCAGTTTTGGGATAAGCACCTTGTATGTTTAACACATTTGACCAGCGCTATATATTTTCTAGAAAACCATCAGTCAACCAACATCCGATCAGCGCTCGCAGCAAATGGCTACAAGCACTGATCAGTGTGTCCTAACAAAGGGCCACAGCAGGGTAGATCGCTCTACTATTGGTTGATTAGAACAGCGATCTGTGAGGTTTTTTTTTCATATAAAAAACTTATAGTGTGTACCCCGCATAAGCAGATAAAACATCAATTTATGCAGCTCTGTAATCAGTGCTACATCAGTAAATTTATTTTTTTAAATGCAAGCAATGTGGGTAGCTGAATTTAACCCGGTACCAGCGTCTTGTAGTCTCTGTACAGCAAAAGATAGAATGTGAGAGGAAGAAGCAGCATAAGCAGTCAGTCAGTTCATATGCTGACAAGAAGCATGTTGATAAGAGGAGAGTGCAGAATGAGAGTGGTGAGCTCATCACCATGCTTTCACTTAATTCAAAGTCCAGTTACAGGACAGGGGCATGCCCAGAGTAACCTAGGTTCTGAGGAAGTGGGTGGAGTGATACTGATCATTAGACTGAGGACATCTACCATCAGAAAAAAGTATTGTCAGATAAATCTCTGGCTTGAATATTGAAGCAAAAATGTGTTTTGTTGTTTAATTTTATTAATAGGCTATATATACTGTATATATATATATATATATATATATATATATATATATATTGTATATGCCCAAAGGTTGCTACACTACTCAAACATTTCATAAAGACATGAAGGCATAACGGCAGTAGTTTCAAACAGGAATCATTCCATCTTCAGGCAGAGAAACGCATCTAGTAATAACGTAAAAAAACAAATATATTTTCCAACAGGAACTGAAAATAGATGTAATCACCACGTACACATAGGCAGTAATCTGCATAAAGAAAAAGGAAACAAAATGAACAGTTGCAATATGATTCCCAGAGGATACTTATAAGAAAAATCAAGTATATAATTTGTCTCCTCAGAGACCTAAAAAGAAAATCATAAAAAATCAAAATGATCAAAAAAAGAAGAGAAACAAAAATCAAAAACTGTAATCATAAAGGCCGTATTTATAAAAAAAAACAAATGTAAATCCAGGTCTGAGTTCAGTTTCCTTGGGTAGAGAGTAACAATGAACCCACTGTACATTTCTTTTTGTCAGAAGCAATTCATGATCTCCACCCCTTCTATTTTTAGGGATATGAAACATAACTGGGACACAGAAAAAGCACATTCAAATGTTGAGCTATAGGTAACTGTATCAACATATCTCTAAAGCTGGCCATATGCTGATGATTTGCTCTGTGGGTAGCCTTCAGCCACCCTCCCACCTGACATTCTTTCAATTGAAAAATCAAAGCAGCTGGGTGGAAAATTGCTAGGCTGAACAACAGCTGCATCTGATTGGATGCAGGCACTGAACAAGTATTTTGATAGGTGCCTATCCATGCTTTCTAGCATGGAAGGAGGAATCTATCAGATTTTAGGTTCAGCAAGGGTAT